CTGGACTACCAACAATAAGAAACGTTACTATATAAACAGGGGAATTAAGGTTCATTTTGCAGAATTGACTTGAAATTGGATTCTAAGCGTGGGTGATCCATTCCGTAGATAGACATTTGGTTTGAGGATATCGCGAGGTATACTTGCTCGTGTTTGGTGGGGGGAGGGGGGGAGTCGGGGTCAGGAGTGTGAATGAATCAGAATGTATCAAGATTCATGCCATCACTTAGAAAGCACCTTTTTTGTCAGAAAAAGACCCCCTCCCATTCTGCTGGCTACAGATCCTNGGGGGGGGGGGGAGTCGTTGTCAGAAGTGTGAATGAATCATGGCATTATTTCCAATATCTGCCACGCTCTTGTTTTCAAGTTTTAACACATGAAGCAAGCCATTACTTAAATTATAATGATTCTTCTCTGAAAAGCAGCAGAGCAAAAGTGATAGGCCTATCGTGCAGACTTCAGTGAATCTTTATAGAACGTATTTGATATCCCTGTCATCCCGGGCTTCATGGTAAGGTACCAACAGGCGCGGGGTGAACGGTTAGGTACCAACATCTAACCCAGAACTTCCTAGGAACTCTTTCCGCGTTTTTTTATTTATCCTCGTAGACTTACGACCGCGACACATACCAATACTTACTCAGTCCCAATGCTCAGGCTCAAAGTAGATTACAATAAAACCTTTCTCAATGCTGCAATTTATTTGGGATTGAAGGTGAAAATAATTTCCCCTTATATCCCAAAGCAGGAGAAGCTGACTCACCGAATATTGATACTAATATTACTCTTACTGCATGGTTTAATACGCATTTATTATAGATTGTTGATATCAATATACGGCCTTCTGAAAAATAATCATATTTGGTTCTGATTTATACACTATACTTTTTTCAGTTCCCCGACGAGATTTACAAAGTGTATGTTTTTGTGTATTTGTGTGATTTGCCAAAGATACAAGATACCCATGGGTAATGTACAGGTGAGGACCATTGTGAAAGGAACTAATGCAATTGGGTTTTTTAAATCTAAAATCTGAGACGTGTATTTCGTCGTGTATCTAACATAAATACTGAATTTCTATTGGATTTAGTATCATTTCACAGAGTAATCCATCAAATAGATACCACACAGCGAAATGTGATAAGTATTGGCAGTAAATTAGCATTCACTACCAGATTCAGTGCTAAAATTCATTTTCGATTTGTTGGTAAATTAAACATGATCGGATATCGTTAAGAGCTTTCCGTTAAGTCAGTTAGTGATAGCCTACTGCGAAGAGCGTCAAATATAAGATGGTGGCACAATATGCCAAAATGTTGCGAATTCTGTGCAGGTCAGAATTAACGGTAATTAACGCTGAAGTTGTGTTTTTCCGACTTGTACAGACGCTTCACAAAAAATCTATAGTTTTTATGGGTGGACGATACTAAGTTTTTTGTTTGATTGGCGGGAAAATGACAACATATTTCTCTAGGGTCCCTCATTACTATCAATCAATAGTTATAATTTGGTCAAAGCGGTCAACTAAATGAAAGCCGGTCAAAGTAACTTATTTTCTGTACAAATATCCGTCAGTTTGGACGGCATACTACGAAGGGCGCATTTATGTCTCAGCCAACAGCAAATTCCGTTCCTGAAAATTATTACACAAGATAAAACAAGGAAGAAATTATATTAGCACTCTTTAGAATTCCATCGACCTGCCATAAAAGGCACAAGGTCCCGCTGGATGTCTTCAGATCTTTAACAATGTGACAAATTCTGTTGGCGTCTCATAAATATTCCACTTGTCTGATCTCGGCCTCTTTCCAGATTGCCCCTATGATTAGAACGCTTTTCATCGCTGACTCGGCGATGATTTGAACGCTAATTGATCTGATGTCGACAACAGTTAAGGATATGTAAAGCGATGTGCCTGAGCAGATGATGACGGATGAGTTGAAGTTAATTGGGTTTGAAGCCCTGTACTGAGGAGAGAGGTTCTTCTTCGAAGAGAAAAAAGTGGAGGTGTAAAATGTGAAAAATACTACAGTAAATGTTAGTAAGCGTTTTGTAACTTTATTAAAATATGTGAAAGGGAGGTGTAAGGCAAATTCGTAAATGAGGTTGAATACTAAGTTTGCAATTACGCAGATATTTCTCTGATACTTCGCGATGAGGAAGTGTCACTAAATGAACAATTCGACAAACTTTTTGCCGAATGCTCGTACCTGAGGGTCAGTTTTGAGAAGACCGAAGCAATTTGGATTGGATCTAAGAGGGGTAGTAATGAAAAATTAAAAGCAAACATAAAAAATTCATAGGAATAATAGAGGTCAACTTAAACTTTTGGGAATCAAGTATGATTTATCGAAAATAGATTTCTAAGAACAAAATTTTAAAGAAAAACTTGAAAAGTTAAATATTGAACTTTCTTTAATAGGCAAGATGACAGTCATCACATCCCTGGCGCCCCCATCCTTGTCCGGGTATTAACAGAGTTACCCAAACCAGGGAAATGTTTTTTAAAGAAATCGATAACATTACGTTCTTGATGTTATGGGAAGCCCAGTTGACAGATTAAAAGAGGCAGAATGAGGAAAGACGCTTTACATGATGGACTAAGAGTACTTAATTGACTTTAAATTCTTTTCAAGAGCACTGAAACATGCATAGGTACAAAAAATAATTGATGAAAAAATAAACAGCGCAAGTGGAAAATATTATTTATGGAAAAATTTTGAAAACATTGGGTGGAAATGAATTTTGGTCTCTCACAAGAAATGGTCTAAATGTGAACAAGAATATATTAAATTCGTTTTAACAAAGCGTTATAAATGCGAGGGCGAGTTCACATGTCAATCCTGATGCCCGCCTGAAATTTTGTCAAAAAAGGTTTACTTTATCTCTAATACAGTGAATGCCAGAGGGGAATTTTAAGAAGAATTGAAGTAAAAACAGCGGTGACTTAAGTTTTCTCTAACGTTTGGTTCTAAGGAATCGTTTCAAGGAAACTGTTATAGGAGATTATGGAGAAAATATTGATAAAAGTTTGAATGATAACATCAGTAATCAATTCAATAGATAAGGTTACAAATTTTTCTTATATCATGCATTTAAAAAGCAGTCTGGGAGATAAGGAAACTCAGGATGCGAGCATAAACCATGGTATTTACTTAACTGATTAACGGTTAGAGAAAATCATGGAAGCATAACAGTAATACTTCCATGAGTGAATGAAGCTTAGTGAGTCATGAATACGTTCATTTTGCCACACTGAGACACAAACTTTAGTACAATCATTTTTGGGATGTGCGTTCATGTCCAGAACATACGGGCATGTCCCTTACAGTGTGTACATAAAAATTATCAATTCGAGCTTGAGAGAAAAATAGAATTGTTGTGTTAGGTGCCATTGATAAGGGACTACGGTTCCCAGCGGACTACCATTTCTCATATTGTTATATTGCTTATTTTAAAAGAAATAACTACATGTATATGTAGAGCTAGGGCCGAAATACCTAATTGGACTAATGTCTGTTCATATATTAAGATTTATCGCAAAATTGTCTTGTACTCTGTCTTCTTGCAGGTGGATATTGATACAATAAGCTTAAGTTATATGTATGTATGTATGTATGCACATGTGTATGTATGTATGTATGTATGTATGTATGTATGCATGCACATGTGTATGTATGTATGTATGTATGTAGGTGTGTGTGTGTGTGTGTGTGTGTGTGTTTGCGGGTTTATGTGATAATACATATCTAAAAGAACATGTAAAAGTCGGGTGAAATTGCTGAATTTAGATCTGGATTAAACATTAAATACTGAACTTCCGTGGTGTTATAAATTTCGGTATCTTTTCATGTATTTCAGTAATTGTAAATAAATATCTTCCATCTTAAACAGGACAAAAGTCCGTCATCTCGCTTGGCAGTGACATACAAAAACATTTTGTGAAATATCTACGTTTTAATTCCAAGCATATAAGAACAAGCATTTGAACGTTTAAAGAATTGTTGGTTTCCATCCAGCAGTTGCCATCCTTAAACTATTCAAATTACTTTAAATTAAGACATGATAATACGTTCTTCAAAACAAAACAAAAAAAATTAAACGGCGTTTATACAAGTTCTTATACTGTCCAGAATTATGTAGTAGTTACCTGCCAAATTCTCTTCTTACCACAGTGCCGAAATGCGTTTGTTAATTTCAGACCATGACTACTATTATGATTGAAGATTGCAAGTGCACATTGTCCAATCAGTTATTTCGACGAAAGATTGGTTATTTTATTGTTACATTTTTTCATGATTATCAGTTAAATACCTATGATACAGATAATAACTTTGGTTATGCTTGCCAGAAGCTCCAGTGTTCCACGAGGCTGCGTCGTCACGCTTTCTTAGCATTCATGGTGCCTCATACTCTCTGACCACATGGGTCGCTGGAAAAAGAATTCTTCTTCAATATTGTAATAGACTACACTACAAACACAGGTAAATATCAGAGGCCAAGTGTCTCACTTGTCACCAGACACAGCACGAACTTTGTGGCTCTGTCGTCTCGTTTGAAGCAATCGCAAACAGTTACTAATATGCATCACAGAAACATACATATTGTCGCCTCTTCCTTTTAAAGTTAGTTCGGACCTCTTCCCTACATCAAAATATAAAAGGAAAAATGGCACAAGAGTCTGTAGAAGCACATTTGGTTTGCTCCGTCTGTACATCAGTTGTTCAGATATTTCTTTCTCAGCGAGTGGAAAGGTCCCTCATTGACACCGGGTATCTACTACCCTCTACAAGGGCGACAGATTGATTTTCCACAGATATTCACAGATATGTCTATAGATAAATAGACAGTTATTTTGGCTCTCGCCTCAGCAAAAATGTCAACAATAATAACTGCGGCCCTGGTAGAGGGTAGAGGGTAAATATGTAACACTGATTGCGTTTATGTACATGTAGAAGCACAGTATCCGCACTGGGGGGGTTAACATGACATTTCAGAAATAAGATCTTTTTGTTCTCAATTAATATCAAAAACTAGGTTCTTTAGGTGTCTTTTAAAAGAATGGACTCCGTATAACGATCAGAAGAACGATGAAAGCTGCTTCTTCCCTTTCTCCTGGAATGGCGGCCACAAAACGTCTCTCTGAGTAACTCTCGGAAACGCTTCCCGAACGCACAATAGATCAGAAAATTAACTGCCGAGTTGCATGTCACCATAAGATTACTTAACTCTCCCAAATATTTGTATCCAGTCTGTTCTGGATCCACAGCATACCATATCTGAGTTACAAGTGCCGGCAGCTGGCAAACAATGAACACGCACACCACTAAAATTAACATGAAGGTAATATTGGTTTCCGATGATGCCTGGTTTCTACTAGCAGCTCTTAGGGACTGTACGCTCATGATCCGTCGATCGGTGTTTGCCCTGTGAACAACCAGTATTAAGTTGATGTTAAGAAAAATTAAAGTGGCTAGGGGGATCACAAAATTCACCAGGCAGTATAGGGCGAAGGTATAGACGTAATGGTAGTCCTGGTCTTCCTGCAGAGCAGTTGGAACTGATACTGGTTTCAGGGTAGTGGTAGTGGTATTGTCAACACACGTCAAGTCATACGATATATAAAATTCGAAAAATCGTGGCAAGTTGAAGAGAACGGAGATCAAAGAGACGGTCGCCGTGGCTATTTTGGCCTTGGAAATTGTTGACAGACTTCGGACGCGGTGAGGCATCTTAACAGCAATGTATCGATCAACAGTTACAACAACTACCAGCCAAACGGCCGCTGTCTGGAAGGTCATTCCAAGCGGCCATATCCACGTGTCCATGATATAGCCTATCTCGCTGAAACATTTCAAAAGCCCAGTATTAGGATGAACAGTTGGTAACACCAACAGCAGGGCAATAATAAGAACAAGGTTGTCCATCACCGCCATGGCACGAAGCAGAAAAAATGTCACCGATCTTTTGGTATCCCGCATTAGAGTAAAAAAGGCTAACGTATTTCCAAGTAACCCCAGCAGACATAGGGGGGCCGTGATGTAGGCGTTCACCACGAACTGATAGAGGAGAAAATCTGGGTCTTCTCCAGCGATCTGGCTTAAGTTAGAACCCGTGCAATTAAGGGCGTCCATTCTCTCGTGCATCTTTAGTAAAACTTGTTCGGCAGGTGGTTAACGAGATGAGGATCCATACATTGATAGACTCTGAAATAAAAAGACATTTAATGATTTGTACATTTGTAACTATCAAATTGCATGTGAACTCGTTAAGAGCATGAATGATTCAACGCTTGGGTTATGAGTTATGCATGGAAAGATGATTATGAAACGGCGTAACAATAGGATTGATTACCAAGCATATAATACTATAGTAATCAGGTAAATTATGCATACTAATGACTTGTTCTCGACTTTGTTGTCCGACTCCAACTTGTTTGTTTTCTAGATGCATTTCAAGTGAACTCATGTACCTTAACACATTTACATAACATAATACAAAACCAAAAACACATACGGCAAGCCACGCATAAACTCCATAAAGTTATAAAGTTACTCTTTATGTTTGTCACAGAAAAAAACGACGAAAGTGATCGCATTTTAACATGAGGAATGGTGTGGATTTGTATAACAATCGGCGCAGCATTCACTGAAAGGTGCATGTCCACCAATAAGTAAATATTTTACCCTTCAATAAAACAAAGACTGGCCTACCATGAGAATGGCATTCCCTCTCTCTCTCTCTCTCTCTGAAGTGGGGGAAGCACAATTGAGTGTTCGTTGGTAAAATAAGACATTTGTTTTCTAGAAATAGTACTTTTAAGCTTAAAAGCAACACCTCAAAGAGCTCCTCAGCCACGCTAGAATTCCACAGTGTCCGCTCATTCATTACATAGTAACTGACAAGTGTATGGGAAAGACAACGGTAATGATGATTCCACTGTCAATAGGCAACAAGCACATCTTGAAAAAAAGAACGCTGGTTTGGGCGGTGTGGGAAAATGATTTATCACTTGGAAAAAAAACGAAAAGAAGTCTCTTTTGAGTCCTGTCGCCCCATATTTGATTCTTACGGACGTCTGCACTTTTAGAGCCTAAAGGAATACGAAACGTCGCCTTTTATGGTTTACTTGTCTAAAAAATAACAATCACATAAATATAGTTCTTGCCAAGCGTTGAACCTCGAGGAAAGCGCTTTTGTCAGCTTCATATGAAGTGTCATCCATGGCGAGTCGACCGACTTTTTTTCAAGAACTTTCATTTTAAAATTGAGTATACGGTTGTACGCGACTACAAGTGTACCGTTAGTATTTAAATATTTTTTTAAAAATTCAAAGTGTGGCATTAAAATATCGCTCGAACCACCTTGACTAGGTCTTGCATGCATAATTTGATCCGTTCTTTTACTTAAAGAATGTATTATGATGATGGCAACCGATGGACTAAACAAGGAAGGTTAAGAGTTGACATTGTCACTATAATGACAATTATAGTAAAAACGTAACCTGTAATCAAGAAAAAAATAAAATGTACCTAAAAANCGGTCGCCGTGGCTATTTTGGCCTTGGAAATTGTTGACAAACTTCGGACGCGGTGAGGCATCTTAACAGCAATGTATCGATCAACAGTTACAACAACTACCAGCCAAACGGCCGCTGTCTGGAAGGTCATTCCAAGCGGCCATATCCACGTGTCCATGATATAGCCTATCTCGCTGAAACATTTCAAAAGCCCAGTATTAGGATGAACAGTTGGTAACACCAACAGCAGGGCAATAATAAGAACAAGGTTGTCCATCACCGCCATGGCACGAAGCAGAAAAAATGTCACCGATCTTTTGGTATCCCGCATTAGAGTAAAAAAGGCTAACGTATTTCCAAGTAACCCCAGCAGACATAGGGGGGCCGTGATGTAGGCGTTCACCACGAACTGATAGAGGAGAAAATCTGGGTCTTCTCCAGCGATCTGGCTTAAGTTAGAACCCGTGCAATTAAGGGCGTCCATTCTCTCGTGCATCTTTAGTAAAACTTGTTCGGCAGGTGGTTAACGAGATGAGGATCCATACATTGATAGACTCTGAAATAAAAAGACATTTAATGATTTGTACATTTGTAACTATCAAATTGCATGTGAACTCGTTAAGAGCATGAATGATTCAACGCTTGGGTTATGAGTTATGCATGGAAAGATGATTATGAAACGGCGTAACAATAGGATTGATTACCAAGCATATAATACTATAGTAATCAGGTAAATTATGCATACTAATGACTTGTTCTCGACTTTGTTGTCCGACTCCAACTTGTTTGTTTTCTAGATGCATTTCAAGTGAACTCATGTACCTTAACACATTTACATAACATAATACAAAACCAAAAACACATACGGCAAGCCACGCATAAACTCCATAAAGTTATAAAGTTACTCTTTATGTTTGTCACAGAAAAAAACGACGAAAGTGATCGCATTTTAACATGAGGAATGGTGTGGATTTGTATAACAATCGGCGCAGCATTCACTGAAAGGTGCATGTCCACCAATAAGTAAATATTTTACCCTTCAATAAAACAAAGACTGGCCTACCATGAGAATGGCATTCCCTCTCTCTCTCTCTCTCTCTGAAGTGGGGGAAGCACAATTGAGTGTTCGTTGGTAAAATAAGACATTTGTTTTCTAGAAATAGTACTTTTAAGCTTAAAAGCAACACCTCAAAGAGCTCCTCAGCCACGCTAGAATTCCACAGTGTCCGCTCATTCATTACATAGTAACTGACAAGTGTATGGGAAAGACAACGGTAATGATGATTCCACTGTCAATAGGCAACAAGCACATCTTGAAAAAAAGAACGCTGGTTTGGGCGGTGTGGGAAAATGATTTATCACTTGGAAAAAAAACGAAAAGAAGTCTCTTTTGAGTCCTGTCGCCCCATATTTGATTCTTACGGACGTCTGCACTTTTAGAGCCTAAAGGAATACGAAACGTCGCCTTTTATGGTTTACTTGTCTAAAAAATAACAATCACATAAATATAGTTCTTGCCAAGCGTTGAACCTCGAGGAAAGCGCTTTTGTCAGCTTCATATGAAGTGTCATCCATGGCGAGTCGACCGACTTTTTTTCAAGAACTTTCATTTTAAAATTGAGTATACGGTTGTACGCGACTACAAGTGTACCGTTAGTATTTAAATATTTTTTAAAAAATTCAAAGTGTGGCATTAAAATATCGCTCGAACCACCTTGACTAGGTCTTGCATGCATAATTTGATCCGTTCTTTTACTTAAAGAATGTATTATGATGATGGCAACCGATGGACTAAACAAGGAAGGTTAAGAGTTGACATTGTCACTATAATGACAATTATAGTAAAAACGTAACCTGTAATCAAGAAAAAAATAAAATGTACCTAAAAAATAAACAAACCTGGTAATATAGTCAATACATTACATTTCCAAATATCAAACGCCATGGTTTTTCTACATTACAGGTATAACCCCCTCGAAGTCAAATGGCGGCCTTCTTTATCTCTCTCTGCCACCCCTAGAACCCTCCGATACTGGAAGGATGCTTCTCGGATGCCATCTGGCCCCTTTGTAATGGCACACTTTGGTTACACCCCCTCTCCACCCCCCTCTCCCCCCACCAGGCCTCAAAACGTGTCACCCGGAACAAGATCACGAGGAGAAGAATGTCGTCACACTTCAGCAACCACCTGGCTGTTACCTTGCAGACACACCTCGTGGTCTAGAGACAGTGTAACTTCTTGGGCGTTATAGTATTTATTTCGGTATCTTTTAACGTTACCAACAGCACGTAAAGTACATATAGAAACGTGCTGCATGTTTTACTAATAAACGTGTGGTTTACACGTATAGTTATTCTGTCAGCCCTCACGTTCTGTGGCAATAAAAACGATTTACTCTCGCCCACAAAGATGCATTTTCTTGTGTAGGATATCAATGTTTTAGCCTATTTGAACCTTCGATAATTAAGAATATCTTATATATAAACGCTTACCTGTACGTTGATACATATATCAAGAATAGATCCCAGTCACAATCTCTCCTATTGAATATCTTTATTTACGGATACATTAAACATTAGGTTTCCTGTGCTTTGTGATCTCTAAGGACACTTTTGAGCTACGCTTACCTTTGCTTTATTTTGTTTCCAACGCGTTTTTAGGCACTTCAACGGTTTCAGCGGTGGCGAAAGTTGTGACGTGAATGCATTTCTAGAAAGGCATACACCATGCTCCTAAACTTCACACAGTTAGTCAGACCATGCGTATGGGAATGTTTGAAAAATTAGAACATACCTTGCGATATCCGCAGTTACCTGAAAGGCACGTCCCGAGACAAAAAGCACCCCATTTTTTACGTGACATAGATTCTTTCATTCCATGCTCTCATCTCACCTTTTTCATCTGTGTACTCTGCTGTTTGTTCGGAACGATCAACGAAAATATATACTGCAGCTGAATGGGAATGTCGATATGGTGATGCATGATTATCTTTTCTTCCTGTATCCAATTGTTACCAAAAACTCAGAACGCAGTCTATCCCACTACTCATCTATCATCTGTCAACTTTCACCTGCCCTCATCAATTTTCCAGTTGTGTTAAAAATTGCTCTTTTTGGATTTAGAAAATGTCAATGTCCTCGAAGTACCGTCCGATATACTGACACAAAACGATCTTCCTGGTTTGACTGAAGTTGCATGTACATCCCCATTAGAAGCCAGTCGTGTAACTTGTGTAACCAGAAACGAATGTCATTAATTTCCCTTCAACTCCCTCTATCGGAAGATTCTCAAGTTATAGTACAGGGAATCGAGGCAGCTCGAAACGCAAACATTGTTACGTTTTGTTTAATGCTACACTGAAAAAATAGTGACAAAAAGTAATGAGGGGTGTATCTGTTTTGCGGTCTTTCTGGGGATATTGAGAACTGTAATAGCAACAGTTACAAAGATGGATATCGTTACGTTATAGCCAAGGCCGGTAGGAGATTTCCATTTAGATGCCGCTCATGAAGTAATAGTGCATGGCACTAATGTGATCAATTCTGGGAAACAGAAGCACGAAATCGAATATGTAGCCAATGTTTTGGCAGGCTAGACGCACAGAAGTATTCAAATAAAAATGTTTAACCGATTTTGCCCTATCTGCCATGCCATTTGTGCACATACATGTAATGGGTTTATTATGGGCCGAGAGCGGCGCTTTGACCAGTGATCTAAATACTCGGTTGATAACCCCAGCGTCTCTCGTTAACCCTTGAAGTGATCAAAATGCAAAGAAAATGGCTTGAGATGTCTGGGAATGATCATTGTCTTCACTTTCGGCCCATAGAAAGTGACCATCTTCTTTATATTTTTAAAAGTCATTCAGCCATTGGAACCGCTCCAGCGGAACCACATGCTACAGCTGAGAGAAGAGGTGATTCTCTAATAGATTCCGACACCAAGTGTGGATAAAACAGCAACTGCTACTTTTTTCAGGTTCCAGGGGTTTTAGTGAAAAGGGATTCGACTATGTAGGGTCTCCTCAAGCCAAAAATAATAATGCCTAAGTGAGTCTGTGCCCTGAAGTTCATAATTAACTGGGAACCTGCCCCCCATAACGTCAGCATGCCCCTGCCAGAACCGACACAGCCCTGCTGATGACTTTAAGGTGGTTTTCACTGAATTGCGAAAGTGGCCGAAACCCAAGGTCATTAGATATAAGGGTTATGAAAATCTTGATACTTGACACAGAATCAGTCTAGTTGTTATGAAGACGTTTAGACTTGTACTGCATGCTGTTTATACATGTATCAGAGAGTATGACATGAAAACTTAGTGAATACTTGAAAGGCATTCAGATAGACAAGTGTCTCAGCAAAGAAAAATATTAACTTATGACTTATCAGTAATTAATGTATCATCACCAAAACCTAATCACTTTTAAGTTAACCCTGTTCTGAACTATACTTAAAATTTCGTCAAAATACACCTTTTTTAAGCTAAGTTATTGGCGAACAACCAGAGGTGAAAACATTCTTGCCAGCGGTAGATGTGCGTATTTTCTTATCTTGGGCTACCGTTTTGTAATATAATGTTCTGCGCGACTTTTTATGCAGAATAAAAATGAATTAATTGATACCGATATCGACGAATTCATACAAACCGTAATTATACACAGCACTCATTTGTGATGGAAATATTTACCATTTACCATTTTGATGTATAGACGTGAACCAAACAAAAATTAGAATCATCAATTTTTCAATGTTAACAATGATGTCTTATGGATTCATGCCAGTCACACGGTGTCAAACCATCATGTTAACTACCTGGTTTTGTGACAGGTAGGTACAGCATGCCAAGAGTTTGTTCATGACAGATACCTGTTGTCAGGTGTTTATAACGACTCCAAACAAATTTGAAGAAAATTGCAATTTGTTCTGAATGTAGTTCGTTGCCAATTTATCTCAAAATCTACATGATATAGCTGATAAACCACTCAAGCACCAAAAGTTTCTCGGTTTGTGTTAAGATATTTTCAGATCCCATGAGTAGACATTAAGATACCTAGTGCGTCACCAGTCTTGGCGACATTGAGTAAGGTCGTGTTTTGATTAATTTGACACCAAAACACTGGTTTTGAATATATTCAAGTTCCCAATCTTTATTGAAATCAGAAGGGGGCTGGGGAGGGAGGGGGGGGTGCCCAAAATGAATCTAACTCACACATCCCACGTCAGTTTCTAAGGGTACTTGCATCTCCTAATCAGTAAAACATTTCTAACAGCGGTATTAATCATGTCAACCATAATTACTATTCACTTTGTCTCAGGTTTCGCTCAATTTGTGTGATTCACTCTCATGCTTCTTAGAACGTCACGGTGAGGAGACCGACATTTTTGTCTTCAATGTAATTATTCTTGATAAGATTCATTTGTGTAAGATAAAAAATGCTGCCAGAACGATCACTTAAAATTGCAGCAGCGAGCAAATGTAATTTTTTCCCAAGAATAAGAAATACTGCCCATCTTTCCTAACATTTGGACAAAATGTTTTCTCATTTCAAACTAGAATGTGTCACATAATATTGACGTGGATTTCTCTGGTATCAAAAAGCATTAATTTTGATTATCAACAAAGAAGGAATGCATATTTTTGCCACAAGCAAGTAATTTCTTTCTGACAAAAACTATTAACTCGCTTCGTTTTGAAATGAAATGCACACAGAACCCAGGAAAATGTCAACGAAATCTTACATAGGCCTTTATTACCTCCGCCAAGGAGGTAATGTTTTCACCGCTGTTTGTTTGTTTGGCTGTCATCAACATAACTCAGAATGTTATGGACCGATTTTGATGAAATTTTCAGAAACTGTCAGAAGTGAGCCAAGGAACAGATGGTTAGTTTTTGGTGGTGATCCGTATCAATAATCAATCAATAATCAATAATAAAAAATATTGAAAATTTAGGGGTGAAAAGGCATTGGATGGAGACTTTGCTGCCTCGGCGGAGGTCTTCGCTCTCTGAGTGCTTTTCTAGTTTTGTTTCTACAATAGCACACGCTGTGGTGATTTCAGCAAGTTTGACGGCCATTTGTGAGCCAAATTGATGTTTCTCTTTCGTTTTTACTGCCTTATTTACAAAATATCTCACCTGTGCAGGTAAATGCCGTCCCTATCTAGCGGAGCACTTCCGCAGATTCACAATTTTCCAAATTTCTTCTCCACATACTTTTGGCTCGTGATAATAACGGTGCTTTTTTATCATTTCAAAATCGGAATATTTACACAGTATCGTACTAAGCAATTACGAGAAAATAATTTTTCTGACAGATATTGGATTTCTTATTTCCCTAAAGACATCCGTTATACAGTGTTGCATCTTTGTTGCAAAAAATGATTAAAACTCCCTGGGTAACAGAACAGGAAGCTACCACTGCTGTAAATTTGGATTAAACTCATGATTTCCTAGTGGAACCATACAAACACACATTGACTTTATCAGAAGAAAATAGCTTAATTTGACCCCCCATCTACCACACACACACACACACACACACACACACACACACACACACACACACACACACACTATCAAGATGCCTAGATTACCAAAGTAACTTTGTCCCCAAGAAACAGCTGTATGATCATATTTACGAAGCAACTGATACTTACATTTATAAATTAACTGATATGTTGTAAAACATTGTGACTGCAAGGACAACTCTTATGCGTTATACAAAACGCATCAAAACCAAAATCAACGCAGGTTAACTTGACAAAAATATCTTATATGGTTGTTGGGCAGTGTTGAGAAGAGTTGGGAAGGGGGAAAAAAGGGGGGGATTTGCCATTACCTTTGCGTGAATACTTTTCCTTATTAAAACAATTGATCGCTAACCAAATGACCACACTTTGCACGCTCTCGGTTTAAGCACACATAGAGGTTAGCCAGTCACTGATAATTGAGCAAAATTCCCTCAGACAAGTCATTATCTTTTACACTCCATCTTCTTGACTAGTCTGTCCAATTGATTAGTCCAAACTCCCCGATGACCTGAAACTGAAGTTCTTCTAAATTGTATAAATGAGCATGTAATAAACATCAGCGCAAAACCCCGCAAGACTTTAATGGCAATGGTCAACTTCCTCATTATCTATTGTATATAACATCTTCTCAAAGAGGAAGTAATAAGAAGAAACTGGATTGCCTTTCCAACCTTTTGCCACTAATATGCAAATACAAAAATTTGTCTCCAGAGGTTCGCTTCCAATAATTGCGATTCACCCCAAGATACATTCAAACCTAGTTTCTGAAACAATGCCGCCAACTTTGTTACATAGTATTTATAAAAAGAGGGGGGCCCACCCAAAGCCCTGCCCGCCTTCTTGAAAATAATTAATAAATAAAAATGATTGGAGAAAAAACAGTGGACACACTTGCTTCATATTCTTCGAGATCCTCTAAATAACTCAAAACTTAAAAATACATAACAGTAAATTGGAAACAATGAAGGCCTAACTTACACTTTGCTGTTTTCCATATCATGCTTTTCTTAATAATTTGACACAATGGGTATAGAATTTAATTGATCCTTCGTTTTTATCTTACAATATTTATTTGGCATTCTCCAACAGGCAAGAATAATCTAACATGACTGCCCGCTATTCATTCCCGGAACTGGTTTTCTTCTCTGCTCTGATCTCTATCAATAATGGGACGTTTTTATCTAGAAATTTCCCAACTAGGGATAATAAAGAAATAGCATCAATGTACGAATAACCCCCAAAAGCTCTTTATGTGGACCACATATCTGGTGGAAAAATGCATTAGTCCAGTGAATACGTCTGTTGGTTTGTTAAATTGATCTTTCATATGCATTTGCAGGCTAATCACGTGGATGTTGGCGGCTACAAAATGAACAAACATCTCTAGAAATTTTGACGTGTTTATTTTCATTACAATCGCATGACCAGTAGATATCTTCTTAAACTGAATTGAACCTTGCGGAAGCACAAAGTAATTAAGATGTATACCTGTCATTGTAGAATGCAATTAACACTGGCCACGCTGGTGCGTAAATCGGTAGAAAGTAACTGTTTTCCAGTCCTCTTGAATATTATTGCAAATGTCGTTATGCACATGCAGCGAATGCGTATGTGTGTTTTACAGATGGTTGCATTTGGTAGCAATAGTGAATGTCGGACACAGGATAGGCCCTATATGCTAAAATTGTTTTGGGTATTTT